CAGGAGAAGTATATTGAGAAGATACTTCAAAGGTTTCACATGGACAGGTCTAAAGTTGTAAGCACTCTTCTTGCTGCACACTTTAGATTGAGCATTCAACAGAGTCTGAGTACATATTCTGAGAAGGAAGATATGGCACAGGTTCCACATTCAGTCATTTTCTTTCTAATCTAGAAAGAGAACATTGGAATACTGTAAAATGGATCTTGAGATATCTTCCAGGGACTTCTAGCTTGAAGCTTACCTTTGGAGGTGATAAACCATTGCTTGCCAATTATCTGATTCTGATATGGTTGGGGATGTTGATTCCAGGAAGTCTACTTCGGGTTACTTGGTAACATTTGCGGGTGGAGCTGTTGCATGGCAGTCAAGATTACAAAAGTGTGTTGCATTTTCTACCACTGAAGCTGAGTTCATAGCCGCAACTGAAGCTTATAAGGAGTTTTTGTGGATGAATAACTTTCTTGAGGAGATCGGCTTCAAGCAAGATAAGTATGTGTTACTTTGCAATAGTCAAATTGCAATTTATCTCGAGAAGAACTCGACATTTCATTCACGTTCTAAACACATTGACAAGAGGTAACATTGGAGACATGATGTGGTTGCTTCTAAGGAAGTGGAACTTGTGAAGATTCATACGAATAATAATGGAGCTGATATGATGCCGAAGTCATTTCCGAGAGGGAAGCTTGAATATTTCCAAGAGATAGCCGGTATGGCTGTTTCCTCCACCTAGTCGGAGGGGGAGTTTGTTGGTGTTCCTTCTAGTGTGGAAACCATTTGGGCTTGATTAGTAAAGAACCAGGTGTTGGGCCATTGATGATAATCCATGAGGTTGTTATTGGGCTTTAGGGTTATGAGGTAATGTCTATATAAACACACTTAACCCAATTCGTTCTAGTTAGCAGAGATTAATCAAGAAAAAAAGAGAGAGAGGCAAGAAAAGAGACAAAAGTCAGTTTTCATCCAGTTTAGTCAAGACTGCGTTTGGAAACTTTAGAGTTTTCTGATCAGGCTGAAATTTTGTGAAAATCTTCGTGACTCAGTGGGATTGAGATTCAACGGTGGGATTTGTTTTTCACCGGTAGGTTTCTCGTGGATCTGAGTTTTAGTGGGCTGTTCGCTTCCAGTTTTCAGAAGGTTGTGTCTTGAGTGTTTGGAGAATCTGACGGTGAGAGCTGAAATTCGGCAGAGCTGTTGTTGACTTAGTTTTCTTGGGTTTGTACGGTGCGATCTACTTCTGGTGGCCGGAATCCTAGAGAACTGAAGGTTGTTTGTGTCTGCTCTTTTCTAAACTTTTGTATTGCTCTCTTGTGTTGAGATTGCTCTTTGTGAGCTTTTGTCTCTGGATCTGTCCTATGGGAATAGGGAGGACATGATTATAACTCACATTCATTTATTATAGTGAATTTTGAGTGGACTGTGGTCCGTTGTTTTTCCTCCTCACATCGAGGAGGTTTTCCACGTAAAAATCTGATGTCTCATTTATTTTCAGCTTTCTGCCATCTTCTAAGTACTTTCTTCAAAAGTTCATACAAGTTGTGGGGGAACTTTATTTCCGCTGCGCATTTGGTGCATTCTGTTTTGTGTTTTCCCCTAACAATGCAGAGATGCCGAGGAAACAAAGCTCAATTTCTATCTTCCTCACATATTCACGTTTTAAAAAAAACTTACTTATTATGCATATATTAATTTTAGAGAATAAATATATTACTTTATATATTTACAGCACTAAAACGTCTTACTTAATAACAATGTAAATAGAAATGTACGGTTTACTGGTGTCTATAAACACATGGCTTGAGACATTGATATCAACTAGCCATATCAAAGCCATCAATTCTGTAAAACTGTCGAACTTTGCCAAATTTGTCAGCTGTCAAAATATGAGTAATTAAACTGATTCGTATTTCCATGTTAAGTGAGCGAGAGTAAACTGGAATGAGAAATAAATTAACTATACAAGGGCTGTGGAGGTTCCTTGAAGCCGGTTACTGAATATCTCTCAGCACATATTTGATGTTTTGGAAGGTTTATAAGCACGTCGTTGCATTGAGAGCTCAAGCTCGGATATCTAATAATGTAATGCCTGAGAAAATCGCCATTCTTGTTAGGGTTATATATTTCCTACCGAATGGATAAAGACAGAAAAAGTTCATCATCAGAAAAAAATACACCTTGAATTATTCTACAGATCGCTTGTAATAACAGAAAACAAGTATCCATCTGCTTGTTCTGCCTTGAAAAAAGTTTCAATCTTTGTATTCGATTGCCTATGTGACTAGTAACCAACCAAAGAACAAATCCGGATTTTTTTTGTTTTTTTTTTCTATAAGCCTTATCGGCTGATCTGGTCGGCCTTGGTAAGAACACACTGAAGTGCTACAGAATGGACTTCTTCCTGGTTCAACGGTTTAATAGACACCATGAGTTCCGAGCAAGCTCGAGTTAACGGGCCATGAAATCCATATTTGAGCCACCACACCGCTTGTTCCGAATTTGAAATGCCTTCCAACTAATACCAAAGGATAGCCAGATCGCTTGTTATTGGACTACCATGTAAACTGCATGAACCTTTGCTCAAGCCTAAACTTCCCATACAAATATGATTTTTGTTTCCACAGAGGTTCGAACCCAGATGGAGTGCTGTGACATATTCCCAAATCTTTGCCTACCACTGGACCACAGACGTGGGGGCTAAATCCAGTTTTTTTAGGTTAGTCAGAAAGCGAAAGCAAGTAGATATGTACGTGTACTTAAGCAACTAGGTATATTCGAACCATTAATCATGTAAATTTGTTGAACTTTGCCCAATTTTTCATTCGTATGATAAGAGTAAACCAATTCGTGTTTTCATGTTTAGTGATCGAAAGTAAATCTTATATATATATATATATATATATATATATATAAAGTTACCTTTTCTCACTTCTCCTTCCGCCACCTCAGCAACTATTTATTATTTAAATTTTTATAAACCACAAAATAACATTAAAATTTAATATTAAAAAAAAATATTTTCTCAAATTGTTTATCATTTAAATTCTTTTAAAACACAAAATAACAATAACATTCGATATAAAAAAATAAAAACAAAAAACAATTATAATATATTGTCAGAAAATAAAATAAAATAAAATAAAATAGAACCAAAAAATAATTATATATATTAGCTTCGAATATTTCAAGATTTAAGGTGAAAAATTTAGAATTGGTAATTAGAAAGACAGAAAATAATAAAAAAAAATTAACATTTACATTTAATATAAAATTTAACATTAACATTTAATATAAAAATTAACAAACATAAAAAGATAATTATAATGTGTTGTCAGAAAATAAAAATCAACAAAATAGCAAAACCAAAAAATAATGATATACATTAGCTCTGAGTATTTCATGATTCAAGATAGAAATTTACGAGTGTGTGACAGGAATTGGTAATTAGAAAGACAGAAAATTATAAAAAAAAAATAAATATTAACATTCAATATAAAAAATAGTAAACATAATAAAAACAATAATAATGTGTTATCAGAAAATAAAAGATCAACAAAATACTATAAAAGAAATAATGATATACATTAGCTTTGAGTATTTCAAGATTCAAGACAGGAATTTAAGAGTGTATAACAAAAATTGGTAGTTAGAAAGATGGAATATAATAAAAATTGATATCAACATTCAATATAAAAATAGCAAAAAAAAAATTATATTGTGTTGTCAGAAAATAAAAAATCAACAAAATATATATAAAAAATAATATACATTAGCTTTGAGTATTTCAAGATTAAAAGCGGAAATTTAAGAGTGTGTGATGGGAATTGGTAATTAGAAAGACGGATAACAATTTCCAAAAGAAATCTAATAAAAATGAAACAAGAGATTAGGGTAACGAGATGGGTTCGAGAAATTGCATTATCTAAAATCTATTCACAAATTTTTAATATTTGGATGAAAGTCAACTTCAAAAAATATTTTGGAAAATTTCTGAAAAGTCGAGAAAAATTTTAAAAACTATATAATTTTAATTTTTTAATTCTTAAATGGATAATATTGATATCTAATATCATATATGTTCTTTATGTTTGAATAAATCAAATAATCGTCAATAGAAAATATTTGATCGAAATTGAGATAAGACCAAAAATTCAAGATGGGTACATTAAAAAAAATAAACAATCACAAAATATCAAAAACTATATGATACGATAAATATAATTTTAAAAATACATAAAATAATAATCAAATCTCCGTGTTGTGCGGATCACAAACTAGAAATTTGAAAAAGATAGAAAATTCGAGAGAGATACTTGTGAGAAATAGAGATCTATCTTAAAATTCTCAAGAATATACGATAACAACTTAATACAAAAATATATAAAAATGGATCACATAGCCGCGCATAGCGCAGATCACCAACTAATATAAAAGAATAATAAATTTATCTCTTTTTCATATTATATATAGCAGTTACAAAAAGCAAGTAATTAAATTTATCTTTTTGTCATATTAGGCAGGTTTGAGCATAAAAATCGAATCTGAAAAACCGAATCAATCTGAATTGAATTAAAATTTAAAAGGCATCAAACCGAACTGAAACTAATATAAATACTCAAATAGGGTCTTTGTCTTTATATCAAAAAAACCAATATTGAATCCAAACCAAAAGTCTGGATACCGAAATACTTGAAATACAATTATATATATATATATATATAAAATAACTAAAACTCTCAATATATTAATCATGTTTAGATTAAAATAACCAACTGATTTTATTATAAAAAAAAATTAAAAAGGAATGAAATTAAACGATAAACGGAATTATTTATGAAACATTGAATAATTGGAAGAATACAAAAGAAAACAGAAACAAAAAGGAGAGTCCTACTAGTTCGATCGCACTTATGAGTCTTTTCCTCTGCTTTAAACATGTGGGAACCAAATACGTGGCAGCCACTCAAATTGGCTCACAAATTTACCAGAATCCAAGAAAAAAGTTTTCAGATTCTCGTGTGACTATTCAGTTCTTCCTGTATCTCTCTATCTCCAATTCTCTATGGTACATTTATAATATATATAAATACGCACTCTTCTTTCACCGACCTCCGACACGAAAAGGCAGCTCCTTTTTGTGTGTTTCTGTCAATTCCACTACTTCACCATGAATGCTTCAATGGATTCTTCTTCTTCTTTTCCAGCTTTCTTTCTTTTCCTTAATTATCTTTGTTTCTTGGTGGGGCTTTGGTGCTTTCTTGACTCATTCATTCTATGTATAAAAGCTAGTGGCAAATGCAAAGAGCCCTGTTTTTCCAGTTTCTTGATTTAGAAGGGAGACAAAAAATGGGTAGAGTTATGTTGGTGAAGTTTTGGTTTTTATTACTTGTGATCTCTTTTGGGTTTTTGTCAAACACTTTGGGACAACAACAAGATGATGATGGTGATGATGATGATGATACTTCTGTCTACATTGTCACACTTAAACAACCTCTTATTGTTCATCTCTATGAAGAAGAAGAGCTTAAACACCAAAGGTCTAAACATGGCCACACTTCTAAATTCATACCAAAATTGCCACCAAGGTGATTCTTTTTTGCTGTCACTAGATTCTCTGTGTAGCTTTAAGCAAACCCTTTTTGTATTGAGTTTGATTTTGGATATGTTTTATAGGAACATTTCAAGGAAACGTCATGCTAGGTCAAAAAGACCACCATCTACTTCTCAAACTCATGACTCTTTCTTGAGAAAGACATTAAAAGGAGAAAAGTATATAAAGCTTTATAGCTACAACTATCTAATCAATGGATTTGCCGTGTTTGTTAGCTCACAACAGGTATATAAATCTTGAGTTCTTGATCTCTGTAGACATAATCTTGACATTCTTGGTCACTGTATACATTATCTTGAGTTCTTGATCACTGCAGAGATAATCTTGAGTTCTTGATCACTGTAGAAGTCATCTTGAGTTCTTGATCTCTGTAGACACAATCTTGACATTCTTGGTCACTGTATACATTATCTTGAGTTCTTGATCACTGCAGAGATAATCTTAAGTTCTTGATCTCTGTAGACATAATCTTGACATTCTTGGTCACTGTATACATTATCTTGAGTTCTTGATCACTGTAGAGATAATCTTGAGTTCTTGATCACTGTAGAAGTCATCTTGAGTTCTTGATCACTGTAGAAATAATCTCGAGTTCTTGATCTTGAGTTCTTGTTGTTTCTTTAAAGGCTGAGAAGCTTTCGATGACAAGAGAAGTAGCAAACATAGTGTTGGATTTCTCTGTAAGAACAGCAACAACGTATACTCCACAGTTTATGGGTTTACCAGAAGGAGCATGGGACAAAGAAGGTGGATTCGAGATTGCTGGAGAAGGAATTGTAATCGGGTTCATCGATACAGGAATCGATCCGAATCATCCTAGTTTCAGTGACAATGACATAAACTCTCACCATTCATATCCAACACCGAAGCATTTCTCAGGTGTTTGTGAAGTCACACCGGAGTTTCCATCAGGATCTTGCAACAAGAAGCTAATCGGAGCACGTCACTTCGCGCAATCAGCTATAACTAGAGGAGTCTTTAACTCATCTGAGGATTACGCTTCTCCTTTTGATGGAGATGGACATGGAACGTAAGTGTAGCTATTGGTATATCATCATACAAAAACAGAGTTTGAACCTTAAAGATTGTTACTTTGAATGTATATACAGACACACATCTTCGATTGCAGCGGGTAACCATGGAGTTCCAGTGATAGTATCTAACCATAACTTTGGAAACGCTAGTGGAATCGCTCCTCGTGCATAGTAAGTAAAGAAACAATACTTGAATCAATGGTAAAAATCTTCACAAGATAACTTAAACCTCTTATGTTTTTGGTTTCTTGCTACTTAGTGTTTCTGTTTACAAGGCATTGTACAAGGGTTTTGGAGGTTTTGCTGCAGATGTTGTTGCAGCTATAGATCAGGTTTACAAACCAACAAATTAAAGCGTAACCTAAGGTTTTTTAGCTTTTTCTTTTCAAAATTTTGAGGTTTTTTTATAGTGATTCTTGATTTGTTCAGGCAGCTCAAGATGGAGTAGATATACTAAGTTTATCGATTACACCGAATCGAAAACCTCCTGGTGTTGCAACTTTCTTTAATCCTATCGATATGGCGATACTCTCCGCTGTGAAATCAGGGATTTTCGTAGTCCAAGCTGCAGGAAACACCGGTCCATCGCCTAAAAGCATGTCTTCTTTTAGCCCTTGGATCTTCACAGTTGGTGCTTCTTCTCATGATAGAGTCTACTCCAATTCCATAACCCTAGGCAACAATGTAACTATTCCAGGCGTAGGGTTCGCAAGTAAGTCTCTCAAAACCATAAATTTCTCGACTTTTTGTCGAAAAATGATGGGTTTGTAACTTGTGTGAATTTGCTTTCTTGATAGTTCCTACGGATGATGGAAAGATGTACAAGATGATCTCTGCGTTTCATGCCTTGAACAATAGTACTTCTGTAGATAAAGATATGTATGTAGGTGAATGTCAAGATTATGAGAATTTCGATCAAGAACTTGTCTCAGGGAATCTCTTGATGTGTAGCTACTCTGTCCGTTTTGTTCTTGGGCTTTCGACTATTAAACAAGCTTTAGATGTCGCCAAGAATCTATCTGCGGTTGGTGTAGTGTTATATATGGACCCTTATGTTCTTGGATTCCAGATCAATCCAACGCCTATGGATATGCCTGGAATCATAATTCCATCAGCAGAAGATTCCCAAGTAAGAGAATGAGAGCAAAGTTTTAAATGTTCTTGCACGGTTTCTAATGATCTAACGATATGCTTTTTCTCGCAGATTTTACTTAAGTACTATAACTCTTCTGTTCAAAGAGATGTAACCACCAAAGAAATCGTTGGATTTGGAGCTGTTGCAGCCATTGAAGGAGGTTTAAATGCTAACTTCAGTAACAGAGCTCCTAAGGTTATGTATTACTCAGCAAGAGGACCTGATCCAGAAGACAACTCTTTCAACGACGCAGACATCTTGAAACCAAACCTCGTGGCTCCTGGAAACTCTATTTGGGGTGCTTGGAGTTCTGCTTCTATCGATTCAACCGAGTTTCAAGGTAGCTTTATATACAAGTAAAAAACAGAGGATTTTTTGGTATAAAGTCAGTAACTTTCAGAATGAAGTTTTGTTCTGCATTGCTCTGTTTTAGGTGAGAAATTTTCTAAAGTGGCTTTCAGATTAAAATTTATACAAGTGAAAATAGAGGGGTTTTCTATAAAATCAGTAACTTTCAGAGTAAACTATATACAGGCGAAAACAGAGGATTCTTGGTATAAAGTCAGTAACTTTTAGAGTAAAAGTTTTGTTATTTTTTGCTCTGTTTTTAGGTGAGAAATTCGCAATGATGTCTGGTACAAGCATGGCTGCTCCTCATGTAGCTGGTGTGGCTGCACTAATCAAACAATCTTACCCGCAATTTAGTCCTTCGGCAATCGCATCCGCGCTTTCAACAACCGCTCTTCTTGATGATAACAAAGGAGGTCCAATAATGGTTCAGCGTACTTACACCAATCCTGATCAAAGCCTCACTAACGCAACACCGTTTGATATGGGAAGCGGTTTCGTTAACGCAACCGCAGCTTTAGACCCTGGCCTAGTTTTCGATACTAGTAAGTGTGTTATATTTGACATTAGCCTAAAACAAAGAAAATAAGAACAAAACTCTAATCTGAAATGTATTGTTCTTATTTTGTAGGTTTTGAAGACTATATGTCATTTCTTTGTGGGATCAATGGCTCAGATTCGGCGGTATTTAACTACACCGGGATTAGCTGTTCCGCTAAGAACGCATCAATCAGCGGTTGTGACCTAAATTTGCCATCGATTACAGTATCGACGCTTAATGGTGAAAAAACCTCCCAAAGATCGATGCGGAACATAGCCGGAAATGAGACATATAATGTTGGTTGGAGTGCCCCTTATGGTGTTTCAATGAAGGTATCTCCTACTCAGTTCTCTATAGCCATGGGAGAAACTCAAGTACTTAGCGTAACACTCAAGGCAATGAAGAACAGTTCAAGTTCTAGTTTTGGAAGAATAGGTTTGTTCGGAAACACAGGTCACGTTGTGAATATTCCTGTATCTGTCATAACGAAAATCGCTTCGAGTTGATAGATAGATATAATATCTTCTTTCTTTTTACCATTCAATTGTTAAAGATTACATTTTTTATTTTGATGAAATGAAAAACGATAGAGATGTTTTCAAACACAAGTAAACTTGAAATTTTCACGCGTTTCCTCCATCTTTGTTACCTTTGCTTGGGGAAGAAGGTAACTTCTCTGTTTCCTCTTGAGCTCCAGATGGGTTTGTTGGAATGTTAGGGTTGACCATCGTGAAAGGTGGGTACTTTGGGAAAGGCCAGCCCTTTAATGGAAACTTGTGGCTGAAGAATCCAGCAATCATGGATTTTGCATGGTCGATCTTGCCCATTGAAGACGAATCATCGATTATGGTTTCAGCTGGTTTTGGTTCTGATTGCAGTTTTGGGCCACGGAAGGAGAGTGCAGGTTGAGAACTTAGGAGGAAGAAGACGATAAGGAGTAAACAGAGAGAAGAAGCCTTTGAGATTTTCGACATTGTTAAATTGCTTGGTGGTTTTGAGCTCTTGTTTGTGATTATGTGTGTGGTTCTATGGGTTTATATATAAGTAGTGACTTTGAATTTGGAGAAGAGATGTGTTGGTGCTTTTAACGTTGGGCTTCTACTTCTTACCTAAACCAGCTTTTTGAATTAAGAGAAGCTTCATGATTTGATCATGACCATGACTCATGAGAGATGATGGTTTATGGGTTTTTGATATAAGGACTAGTCGACAAGAATCAAACTTCTGGTTTCGTTAGTAAAAAGTATCAAAATCTTTTAACTTTTTTTCTTTCGAGAAAGCCCAATAAATATCGACGAAGAGAGTTAACTTGATCATTCATGATTCACATAATCACATGTTAATCACAATACTAATAATTCCCATTTTGCCACAGAGATATGAATCCTTGCTTTCGGCTCATTTAAATATCTATGGACTGCACCTCCTCCAAAGATTAGTCTGAATGTGATTCTCTGAATTATATATATATATAAAAAAAACAATATCCAAATTTCCAACCATTTATATACATTTCCTATTTTCAAAATATTCAACCTAAAATTAAAACTTTTAAAATTTTAAAACTTCATATCCAACAATCATAAGATTCAAAACCATAGCAAATAAATTATTTTGTTACTAAAAATTGTATTATATATATCTTTTTATTTTATGTAATATCTTTTTTTGAGAAAATAATTTTATGTAAGATTTTACATAGAATAACTATGTATGTAATACTAATTCGGGTATAGAAAAAGAAGAAAGTTTTACTAACAGAGGTAACAGACAAGGCAAATGGTTAAGATGCTTACACAATCTGATAATCACTCGTGGAGTCGTGGTACACACTAAACACTCAAAAAAACGAAGAAGCAAGAAAATAGAAAAAACAGGGGAACGAGACACGTGTGACTTGTGAGGCTGTAATGTTTTCAGGGGACAACGGAGGGAGATGCGGCGGTGGGGAAGGAGCATTTGTTAGGCTGAACGAGACGAGAGATCGAGACGGCGGAGATAATGAGCATAAGGATTACGCCGGCGAAGGCGGCGATTAGTGCTCCGGCGCCGTGGTCGCAGTAAGTGGCGAATCTGTCACAGATTTTGTCCCATCTTGCGTGTTTGTTCCCATTCTTACCAACTTCCGATATGAACGCCGCCGCGTTTGCTGCCGCCGAAATCAGAGTTACATTCAGCTGTTTTTACCGTTTTTGCATTAATCAAGAAGAAGCCAAGTCAGCATAAATATGAGATCATTACGTATGGCATATGTATGTCTATGCTCTGTTCTAATTTGCTTTGATATTTACCTTTTCAGTTTTAGTTTCACTGATGTTACTAATCAATCAGTAAGTATCTCTAATGATCATTTTATTTTTACTCAATAAGGGGTAGGTCTTAGGTAAATAACAGTAACTTCGACCAAAAATGGTAAATAACAGTAACAAATAACTAACCGAACCAAATCAAAATATTTATTTTATCTAAACCGCACGAAATTCAAACCGCACAATGTCAATTTTTATATTTTTTTAAACGAAATAAAATCAAGCCAATATGAATCTGATTGCCAACCACTACTACATTAGTTCACCAACTATATACTAACTTTAGTAATCAATAATCAAGTGTTTCAATTAATCTATATCATGATAATTAACTTCGGTATTTTGTAAAGTATGGTTTTTCAAAAAAATATCTAAAAATCTGTATATTTCCCCATTGGCCATTAAATTTTCGATAAGAAAGAAGGAAAAAAACATTTTAAGATTTTCAAATTTTCATGAAATTTAATTAAGAAAATTAAATCCATTTATATCTCTAAATATATATATGTGTAAATATATTTACCATGTCGAGAATGGCGACAGAGAGAAGACGAAAACCAGTTAATTCCGATTTCCCTCCAAATATCTGAAGAGCAATCATCAACAAGTTGTGGAAGCTCACCATTGCATTAGCCACTACAAAAAATCTATTTTCCCCCACACCAAAATTTATCCAAAAAAAAAAAGATTACTCTACAAAAATTAAACGTTTAGAGAATCTCAAAATTCAAATTTGAAAGTGTTGAAGGCTTACACAAAAGCTGGAGTGTGTTGAAACTTAGCAGTGAAAGTAGCTTTAATTGGAGCATTTCCAACGTTTCCCACAACAAAAGTCTTTGTTTCTTTGTTCAATCCCATAACAATGGCTGCAGATAACGTGGCCAAGAAGGCAAGTACTCTTAGCCCTAAGAGTATTTTGCAGCTTTTACCGCTCGTAGCAGCCAATAAAATCTTTGAAACCGCCATTTTTCCGAAGAGGAAACTGATGAAATTGTTGTGTTGTAATGTGAAAGAGTGTTGTGTGTTTATATATGTGAGTTTGAGTGTTTGTGTGTGGTCTTTTGTCTGACCATCTAACTTTGGAGGGTTAATTTTAGGTTTGGTGGTTGTGAAGATTCAGTGAAAATGTTAGATTTGTTTTTTTCTCTTTTATTTTGTTTGTTTTATGGCAACTTAACTTACTCTTGGGACAATCTCATCTACCCAAAACTTAAACAAGTATTGACTTCTTGACTTTTCATCTCTTTTTTCTTCCTATGAAAAAAAAAAAAACTTGATTATTTGAGTGTGTTTACATTTAAATTAAGTATATGTATCTTTTCAAATGAACCAATAGCTTTAACAAAGGCAAAACACATTTTTTTAACTGTAAAAGTCATAAAATGGAAAATCACAAGATTGTTTTTATAAAGCTAAAAATGTTGGGAATGTTTGGAAAAAATATGACTTTTTATGGTATTTTTCTCATGTTAAATGCAAACAGAAATATAATAAACACAATGGCAGAAAATGCAATTAAATTAAATAGAGCTTAAGATTGAAGAAACGTTTCTGCAATTGAACTATTTTGTGATTTTCGAGCCTATAATGAAATGCCAACTTTTCTCACAACAGATTGATTCAATCCAAACTGGGACCGGTTTAACTGACCAGGACAGATGTAATAACCGGAATATAAAGAAGGAAGATAAAACATTCAATTAAACGGTTTACATGGATGTGAAAGTGCAATAAAAGAGTTCTGGAGTCTAAAACTCAATCAAAGCAAACCAAAACCCATTTGTTCTCAAACTCATTAAAACAGAGATCAAGAAACACCAATTTTTAGGGGTTGAAACAAAAAAGGAACGATGAACTTTAGAGACATAAACAGATCTTTTCCAATGTTATTTGATCATATGCACAGAGCAGAGAAAAACAGAGAAAGAAAATGGATCTCTCCTCTTTAATTACTTCTTATCTGTTGTTACTCCAACCACAACATTGCTCACCTGCAAGTGTTTTCACATTAAAGATCTTCGAATGCATACTTTTCGTACAAAGAAAAGAAGATAAGTAACGTATAGACTCAATGCTCACCAATTTTCCACTTTCATCCACAGACATTGGATTCTCTACAACGACGGTTTGTGTCTGAGAAGTCGTATATCGACAAAAATGAACAAAGTAAGCTCTCTTTATACAAAATCAATATCAGAGACTCTGTAAATGGTAACTCACAGATGATGTAGAGGACATTGTTGGTGAAGAAGCTGTTCGATTAGGCCGGTTCATCGATAGAGGAGCTCTTCCATTGTTCATCTACAGAGGAACAGAGTAAAATCGATATGATTCCGATAATAAACACTCGAGCAACAGTGGTTTAGTGTTTATAGGAATGTATATACACTTACATAGACATTAGTAACGTATTGGCAAACAGCACATTTAACAGATGATGCTCCATAAGGATACATGAGTGTTGTTCGACAATGGCCACAGTTTATATGCGCGGTCTGATTAGATTGCGCTGCATTACTCCGAAACAGATTCAGACAATGTGATTACAAGTTACAACAAGTAAACATTTCAAATGACTACAACTTTGGAAACTACTATGGCTCAGAGGTTATATAGCCTAATAGTTATCGAAAGCTTCATACTTTTCTATTCTATTGAACATTTGAGACTCAAACAAGAAGTTGCATAAGCCACATAACACACCTTTCAACGAATTTGAGGAAACCTTTTTGAGATTTAGAGATATTTTTTACCTGGTGGTACAAGGTTCAGAGTCTGACAACAAGAACATCTAACGCTAGTTGCAGAACGTGTATACATAAGCATAGTCCCACAACCTCCACATACAATGTGAGCCATATCCATTCCTACACACAAAGTTATCACAAAAGCTTTATATAAGTCTACTCTTTGAACTTCATTTCCCTGATCAGATAATGTAAAAACGCCACAAGACTCAGAGAAGGTTACCTTGAGGAGGATTGATGGTTCTACATACAGCACAACACACATTTGTTGCTCCTCGAGGATACATTAACATATTTCTACATCCAAGACATACCAACTGGTCCTGCATTTCTCTGTATTCATAACACAATTGCTTCAAAAATCGTTCCTTTACAGGAAAAAACCAAAACTTTCTAACCCAAAAACAAAAAAAAAGACTAATTTTTCTAGAGTCAATCATTTTTTCAGTATTTGCATGCGCCATTGTCAAACTGTGAAGAACCAAACCCAGAAGAAACTCACCTGATAGAGACTGGACAGAAATAAAAAGCAACCCTTTTGATTAGAATTCCAAACTCGGACCCAGAAACTTCTGCACCAAATCAATCTAAGCCAAATTGGTGAAACAAATAACCAAAGTTACAAAATTGCAGATGAAATCGAGATATGATGTTCTTAATCATACGGATTGGAGATTGGTGCTAAACTTAACTTACACAGTAAAATAAACTTTGGGAAATCGACAATGGAAAAGACAATAGATTTGATTCTGCCCTCTCTTGTTTGTCTCCCAGCGAATTATCTCTCAGTTTTTTTTTTTAGTTTTCTTTAAATCGAATTCAATTTTTTTTATTAGGATTATTGAGCTTGAACCTTGTCGTGACTCTTTTTAGGTCACTTTCAGGGATTTTGCTTAGGCTCCTTTTTGTCAAAAGCGTGGGCCGTGGGGCTCACTCGATCAGCTATTGTCGAAACGCGCTTTTGAATCTCTCTCTCTCTTCCGATTTCAATACTCCGCGGTTGCGTTTTATAATTGCCGCGGTTACCAGCGGTCCAATCGCAAAAGTCCTATTTAATCACATTCATGTTTTCGTGTTAGCTTTTTTTTCCGATATTGCTCGTGATCAGACATTTCTCAGAAATAAGGTCCCTTGAAACAATATAATGAATCATTTTTCTGATTCATTAATCAAAGAACACAATTGTTTTTTTTTTTTTTTTGAACTTTCAAAGAGCACAATTGTTTCAGAAATCTGTTCTTTACATTAAAATATAAAACTTTGCGGCCAAAAAAAACTCTCAAAGAAGTTTTTGAATATGAATGCGCCATCAAATTTTTTTGTGCCGTCTATTTTATCCCCAAAATTCTCCATTAACAAATATGACACATAATGGCCTAATATGTACATTTATGCCATTCCTTGAGCATTATCAGCAAATTTTATATACTAATCAGAATTTTTGTCGATTCCATAACATACAAAAAATTTCTGAAAAAGAATTGAAATAACGGTGGATAAAGAAGGAATATTAGGAGGATCTGGACTCTGTAACGGCTAGTTCCGAAGTACCGTTTGATTATTTTATTAAGCACGCTCATCAATACACACATATACATACACTCAAACAGAGAGAGAGAGAGAAGAAAAAGCACCAAACTTTTGATCTCTCTTCATCTCACAGATCCTCAGATCACTTTTCTCTGACTAGGGTTTTCATAAACACGAAGGAAAAAGGGTTTAATTTGTTCAACATTACCTCAATTGAGAAGTGTGAGAAGATATTCGCCATGAACATTTTCAAGAAGAAGACCACTCCCAAAGGTAAAAAGCTAAAAACTTTACCATTTTCGCTCTGCGATATTGTTTTTCTGGGTTTCAAATGTTGTTAGTTTTGTGGATGACAAAGTTAATCTTGAAAAATGGCACCTTTTTAACTGTTCTTCGTGTTCAAAGTTGAGTCTTTAAGAGTGTGGGTAGATGTGAATTTTGCTGGAATTCTTATTTTCCATATAAGGGTCTATGATTCCTTAATTAGATGTGTAATTGTGAGAAAAGCTCGAAAAAGGAAACTAGTAAGTTGCCCAGATTTAGTCATTTCAGTGCTTGATTTTTGTTCCTGGATGTGAATTTTGCAATACTGATTTTGATTCTATTGAATTACTACAGATGCTCTTCGTACCAGTAAGAGAGAAATGGCTGTGGCTACACGAGGTATATTTAGGTTCCTATCGCTTTTGAGAAATCTAATTTCTGCTTTTAAGCTAGATTTGTGTTTTAATTTTCAAAAAAATCCAAAATTGTAATTGAAAATCGGAGACTTGTGATTAACTATAACTTCACTTCTGCTAGTAAAAGAACTGAAATGTATGGTTATAATCTGTTTTTGCGCTGGATTTGTGTTATGTTGCCTAAAAAACCCAAAAGATATGATCAAATATAACTTCATTCCTGCTAGTAAAAGGACTGAATTTTAAGGTTATAATCTGTTTTTGAGCTGGATTTGTGTTATGTTGCCCAAAAAATCCCAAAAGATATTATCAAATATAACATCATTGCTGCTAGTAAAAGAACTGAATGCATAGGTTTCACTCTCTTTGAGACTTTTACTTCTGTTTATAAGCAAGGGTTGTGCTTCGTTGAACAAAAAAAACCTGAAATTTGCGATCAAATATAACCTCATTGCTGCTAATAAAAGAGCTGAATGTGTTGTTTCTGGATTCTAGCTTTGGGGAATTTCTTATGCTCTTGAGATTGTTCTGATACTGTTGAAGTTGTGTTACTAAATTTATACAAACCTCTCTGTTATGTGTCTCTAAATAAATCAAGAAGCATAAAAAGCTAAGCTTTTGTTCAGTTTCTGAGTCCAATGTTGATATATTCGAATGTACTTGCAGGTATCGAACGTGAGATTTCATCTCTTCAGCTGGAGGTAAGATAACATATATTGTAGACACCTTTTGTTCATATAAGTTTTCTTACGCTTTCACTGACATTTAAGTCACAATCAGGAGAAGAGACTAGTTGCAGAAATCAAGAAAACAGCCAAGACTGGAAACGAGGCAAGTCTCCATATCGTCTAATCTCATCTAAGAACTTTGGATTTCTCATCTTGAGCTTTTTGGCTTATGCTCACTAATGTTTATTCTTTATTGAACATTTGTTTGATAGGCGGCCACCAAGATCTTAGCTCGTCAACTTGTTCGATTGAGGCAACAGATTACAAACTTACAAGGAAGCCGTGCTCAAATTAGAGGTGTAACGACTCACACACAGGTTTACTTCCTCTCTAATCCATCATCAGCTAAACTAATAGTTTGAATAGAGTAATAATAATCCAGTGTTAATACTAAATCACTGTGTTTTCATTCATTTCTCTTTGGTTAGGCTCTGTATGCCAGCACTTCGATTTCTTCTGGCATGAAAGGTGCAACCAAAGCTATGGTTGCAATGAACAAGGTAATGTTAGGTTTTGGTTTCAATTCTCAGTTTCATTGATAAGCTGATGAATCTGTTGAATCAAAAACTTCATTCCTACTTTTGTATTTTCAGCAAATGGCACCAACGAAACAAGCCAAAGTGATTAAGGATTTCCAGAAACAGTCAGCGCAGCTAGACATGACGGTAAAGGATTCAACATCTCTTTATCTTTAAGAGCTTAGTTTAAGATTCTTTGGACCAATGTTCTTCCCTCAGGCAAACATATGTTCTTTGTGTTATATTTGATATTTGTTGATATATGTTGTTATAATTGCAGATAGAGATGATGTCAGAGGCAATAGATGAAACACTTGACAAAGATGAGGCTGAAGAAGAAACAGAAGACCTCACTAACCAAGTTCTTGATGAGATTGGTGTTGGCGTTGCATCTCAGGTCAGGTTTCTCTGCTATAGGAAAGTTTATATATATTTGGTTGATCGGATTAGTAACATAATCTCTCTCTTTGTCATTTGTTTTTTTAAACAGTTATCTTCAGCTCCAAAGGGTCGGATTGCTACAAAAACAGCTGCTCCTCCTGCTTCCACTGTAGCTACTAACAGGAGGTATGAATCTATGTTCAAGTGCCTATTGGAAATTGAATGTGAAAGAAAAAAAGATAAAGAAACCTTTTGTTAATCAAAAATATATGTCAACTTGCAGCTCTGAATCCAGCGAAGTGGATGAGCTTGAGAAGAGATTGGCTTCTTTACGACGAATCTGAGAGACATCTGATCAAGTTTCCAAGGGAAAGGGATGATGATGCATGAAGAAAGATAAAGCAGTTTTTTTAATGTTCTTTTTGTTATTATCTCTGTATAAATCTGCTGAAAACTCAGGCTGTTTGATAAGATTTGTCATCAGAAAATTAAAAACATATACGCTTTATAAAGAAAAGAACATATGTGATGAGAGTTTATGATGGAAAGGATTTAGTAATTCTCTAAAATCATCTTCAATGTATAGAGTCCTCCAGGAGTTCGCATATACCGCATTCACCTATCTCCCATATGTCACTGTGAGCTTTGAACTCAAAGAAAAGCTCGCTGGTTTCCACATTATCTACCTGATCTTCAAATACGTAAAGATGCTCTGTTAAAAGTGGATGTACATGATGGTTCCGTAGTCTCTGCGTAACAGAAATGAGACAATTCTGTTTGTTCTTGACGGTGGAAGATACAAAGACCTTTGATTCAACTTCGTCACAAGCTCCTTTCTCTCCCTTATTAACCAGCACGATGCAAGCCTTAAGTCTCAACGATGTAGGATAAAGCCTTTGTTTCAACTTCACTGTTAGAGAACCTTTAGTAGTAGCTCGGTAAGTGAAGAACGCAGGAACTTTTCTACCTGGTAAGATCGCATATTCACTAGTCGATGTCTGGATGATGATGTCTCTCGCTGTTTGATTCATTTTCCAGCAGTTAGCAAAGTTTAGACGAATATCGGGATTCGAAAAGGAACAAGCAACTCCCTCTAGAGACTCACAGTTTTCTGCATCTAAAGATGTTAAGGAACACGAAAGCTGTGGGATTGTTACAAGTTTCTTGCATTTGTTGAGTACAAGCCGACGTAAACTAGAGATTTCATTTACCCATTGTGGAACTTCATGTATCTCTGTATTGTTCAACTCCAGCTCTGTGATGATGTTAAGCGCATGAGGGAAGTTTTCAAGATTCTTGCAATATGTTATATGCAAGTCTTGAAGACCAGACCATGACTTGATCGACAAAGGAAACTCTTTTATCAAAGTTCCACAGAGCATCAGCCATCTGACGTTTGTAGAAATCTCAGGAAAAGTAATCAACTGCGAACAACCAGTAACATCAATGTATTTTAGAAGTTCCAAGTTCATGTTGATGGGAAGAGTCTTTAGCCTTGAGCATCTTTGCAAACTCAAACCCAACAACATATGGAGATTTCTTATAGAGGAAGGGATCTCCGCAAGATTTAAGCATCCGCTGAGATTCATATATTGGAGATTAGTGGCATTTCCAATAGAACAAGGTAGCTCCACTAGATTCAAACATTCACTGAGATTTAAATCCTGAAGATTGATTATATTTCCAATAGATGAAGGAAGCTCCAACAGACTTGAGCAATGATTGAGATTTAAATCTTGGAGATTAGTGAGATTTTGTATAGAGGAAGGGAGTTTCACAAGACTTGAGCATCCACTGAGATTTAATTTCTTGAGATTGGTAATATTTCCAATAGAAGATGGGAGCTCCATAAGACTTGAACATCCATTAAGATTAAGTTCTTGAAGATTAGTGAGATTTCCAATAGAAGAAGGGAGCTCCACTAGATTCGGACATCTACTAAGATTAAGGTTAGTGAGATTAATGACATCGCCGATAGAAGAGGGGAGCTTCACCAGATTTAAGCAACGACTGACATGCAAGTTATGCAGATTACTGAGATTACCAATAGCACTTGAGAGTTCCAAAACATTTGTCACGGACAAATTTCTGAGATTACTGAAATTCCAAATAGAAGAGGGGAACTCCAATAGACTTGAGCATCCATTGAGATTCAAATTTTGAAGATTAGTGACATTTCCAATAGAGAAAGGGAGTGCCATTAGACTTGAGCAATGACCAAGATTTAACTCTTCAAGATGTGTGGCATTCCCGATAGAGGAAGGAAGTTCTTCCAAATTTGTGCATTGAAAGAGATCTAATCTCTTCAGATTCTTGGCATTCCCAATTGACGAAGGGAGTTCCACCAGACTTAAACATGAATTTAAATTTAATTCACGAAGATACTTTGCATCCCAAATAGAGGAGGGGAGTTCCACCAGACTTGAACATCCTTGACAATTAAGTTCTTGTAGATTAGTGGCGTCTCCAATAGAGGCTGGGAGCTCCACAAGACTTGAACATCCACTCATATCCAGTTTCAAGAGATTAGTGGCATTCCCAATAGAGGATGGAAGCTTTACAAGACTTACACATCCTTCAAGAGTCAGTTCCTTGAGATTATTGGCATTTCCAATAGAGGAGGTGACCTCCACCAAACTTGAACATCCACGAAGATCTAAGTTCTGAAGATTAGTGAGATTTCCAGTAGAGTTAGGAAGCTCTAAAAAACTTTTGCATCCATTTAGATTTATTTTTTGTAGATTAGTGGCGTTTCCAATTGAGGAAGGGAGCTCAACCAATCTTGTACATCTGTGAAGATACAATTTTTGGAGATTAGTAGCATTTCCTATAGAGGAAGGGAGTTCCACCAAACTGGAACATCTTTGAAGATTCAATATTTGGAGATTAGTGACATTCCCAATAGAGGATGGGAGCTCTACCAAACTTGCACAACCTTTAAGATTCAATTCTTGAAGATTAGTGGCGTTCCCAATAGAGGAGGGGATCTCTACTAAACTCAAACATCCATCAAGATTTATTTTTTTGAGATTAGTGGCATTCCAAATTGAGGAAGGAAGTTCCACGAGACTTGAACATTGACTAAGATCCAAGTAACTGAGATCAGTGGCATCTCCAATTGAGGAGGGGAGCCTCACCAGACTGGAACATCTCCTAAGATTCAAGTAATTGAGATTAGTGGCATCTCCAATTGAAGAGGGGAGCTCCACCAGACTTGAACATCCATCAAGATCAAATCTATACATATTAGTGAGATTTCCGATAGAGTTGGGGAGCTCCACCAGATTTGAACATCCTTCAAGATCAAATCTGTACATATTAGTGAGATTTCCGATAGAGTTGGGGAGCTCCACAATACTTTTGCATCCATTGAGATCCAATTGTTGTAGACTACTGAAATTTCCAATAGAACAAGGGAGCTTCACGAGGCTTGAACATCCTTGTAAACTTAGCTGTTGGAGATTAATGGCTTTCCCAATAAATGGATGAATCTCGACAAGACTTGAACATCCACTAAGAACAAGTTTTTGGAGATTATTGGCATTCCCAATAGAAGGAAGTTCTATCAGACTTGAACATCCTTTAAAATACAATTCATGAAGACTAGTGTCATTTCCAAAAGAGGGGATCTCTACCAAACTTGAACATCCATTGAGATCCAAATCATGTAGATTAGTGGCAGTTGAGAGATCGGGAATCCCCTTCAAGTCAGTGGAATGCTTTAAGGTCATCAACTTAAGATGTCTAAGCGGCTGTTCAAACAAATAAAAACAACATTCAACAACTAGTTTAGTAATTAAATCATCTTAAAGGCTAATATCATCTTTGTTGAAGCTAAAACTTTGTACAGATTAAAAGAATTTCCATAGAGATAATATTTAAATTTAAAAGTAGAAAAACATGAAAAAGTGCTTACCTGAATTCCTTCCCACAATTTTTCAAGCTTGCTATACTCCAATTTTATCTTGACTAAGAACTCGGGATTAAACTTAGAAGGCAAATATGTCATCGGATAATTATCCCAGCGTAGTATTCTAAGTTTTGAAGGTAGATAGTTTAAACCTTGTGGTAAGTGCAACCTTTTGCGACTATAACTATAACCATTATGGAAGCTCAGAAATTGAAGATTAGACATTCCTTCAAAAGCTATCTCACTTATATTTTGGTCATCCTCGATATTAGAGAAGTCAAATTTTATGCCTATAACACTTCTACTACCCTGAAAAAGAATACAAAAGATGTAAGACGAAAGATTACTAGCTATCAAATGACTTAATGAAAGATAAAATGACAAAACTTACTGTATTATCACTGAGTACTTCAAAAATATCTTTAGCATCAACTAAAAACTGACGCTTCCCAGGTTCATCAATGGATTGGTTACGAACGATTTCTCTACCAAGTTGGACAAGTAGATTATGCATTGGAAAATATTCATAGTTGGATATGAGAGATCTCTGAACTAAGACCCTAAATCCTTGCCACACATTCAAGAATTTGTGTCGAAGAGTATCTTCAAAGGTACGATCAATGCCTTCGTCATTGAAAAAACAAGCTATATGGAGAAATAAACCTTTGTCTTCTTCGTCTAAGGCATCATAACTGAATTTTAAAATGCTTCCAATTTCTCCGTCAAGGTGAATTCTTAATCTTGGTAATTCCCTTTGCTACGCTTGCTTGGACATTCCTTGGAAATGAGAACCCATAACTCTAAGTCCCAAAGGGAGCTTACCAGCAAGTACTGTAACTTTCTCAGAAAGATCCTCGAAACCATTCGAAGGGAAATTCTGACCAAAAGCGTTGACGCAGAAGATTTGAAGAGCCTCATCAAATCGTGGGAAATTGACTTTGTAAATATGTTTGATCTCAGATGCCTTCAAAAGCTTCTTATCTTGTGTCGTGATAATAATTCGCGTTCCAGGACCGAGCCATTGAGCTTTAGGCATGGCACGTAGTTGTACTAATTGATCGATGCCATCAAGAACAACAAGCACTTTCTTGTCCATCAAGAAATTTTGTGCAGCTCCTAAATGAGGAATCTTGATATCATCTTGGTTGAGTAATTGAGATAAAAACTCTTGCTCTAAGTGCAACTTCACATCGTGGTCATCAGAACAAGTTGGTCTTGCATAACTCGGTTTGAATTTCATGAAAACACTAAGTTGAAAACCATAAGAGAATTGATTATGTAGAACTCTAGCAATGGTAGTCTTACCAATTCCAGAAGGACCCAAAATCCCAATCGTCCTCCTTTCATCTGAACCTAGGCAAAGCAACTCTTTCATCTTTTCCATATGAGCTCCCATCCCAATTAAACCTTCGAAATCACTTGATGGCGTTAAATTAATCAACCTTTTGGAAATTTCAGAGACAATTTCTTCAATCATGATTGCGTCATTATCCCTAAACAAAAAAAGAAGGTGATCACTACATCCTTTAAATAGTCATGAAAATTTCACATATACTACAGTAAAAGAAGATGTATACATATAGCTTGATGTGTAGGTCTTGATTGACAAATTAACTTTAAAGGCCGTAAAGATTTTAAAAGAAAAGTCAAAGTAGGTTTTTATCCAATCAGACATATTAATTTAAAATTCATAAAAGTTTCGAAAGTGCTTCTAAAAATACTGAGTGTGCAAATGTTTATTTTCCACTCATCATTATACTTCTCAGTTCTCACATACACCCATTTTTGTTCTTAATCGACATCATTTTTTCTAAAACCAAAAATTATGGCTTTAACTTTTTTTTTTTTAAATCACAGTTTTTATTTTACAATCACACAGTTTTTACAATAACAACTATGAAAAAAAACCAACACAATAATAACACTAAAGTCTCTCCATGGTTTGACACATCGGCTTTTTAAAGCTTTATAAATATGACACCTCAGTAAAAATAATCACCAATCAAAACATTTTATTAATACATCTCATCTACTTAATTTAATTTTTAAACTTAAACTCATTAAAAATCTAAATATTTTTTCTATTAATTTTTGTTTCATTAATCCAAATAATTAATAACAGCAAATAAAAAAATCATTATTTTATTTTTTACCAAATCCACATCCAAATAATAAATAAAAACAAATAAAAATATTAAATCATTGTTTTCTTTTTTTTTCCAAAACCAAATCCAAATAATAAATAACAACAAATAAATAATAAAAAAATTTTAGTTATCTCTTTGTTTGACATAAACGTATATGATTGAAAAAGTGTAGGCTCAGCATCAACTATTCTTCCATGACAACAACGCAAAAAGCCTTATGTTATAAGAAACTCACACATCAACAAAAATTTGAACTGATAAAAACACAACAATTTCTTAGTTTTCACGTGAAAACATAATTTCATGGGAGATAATATAATTTTTGATTTTCGTGAAAAATTGTAGTTTATTTGTTTATGTAGGAAAGTATGATTCTGGGCTTGACAAGAAAATGATTTTTTTTTTGGCAGGAATAGACGATTTCTCAGTTTTTGCAGGAAAAATAAAATTTTCGATTTTGGCGGGAAAATATAATTTTTTTTTGGTTTTTGGAAGAAGATGAAATTTTTTGGTTTTTGTGAAAAAACGTAATTTCTCGGCTTTGGTGGAAAAATACAGGTTCTCGCGGAAAAATGAAATTTTAGGTTTTAGGTTTGACGAGAAAATGAATTTTTGGTTTTTGCGGGCATAGGCGATTTCTGAGTTTAATGGGAAAATGAAGTTTTTTTTTGTTTTGACGGAAAATGCGATTTCTCAATTTTTGTAAGAAGATAAAATTTCTCTGTGCTAAATTTTCAAGTTAAAATATGTTTACAGTAATCAAAATTTAATTATTTAACTTTAACTAAAATGATATTTTAAGAGTTCAAACATAATTTTCTATTTAGTTCTAAAGCAATAGCAATGATTTTGATATGAATGTTATTGATTATAGTTTGGTAGTTTTAAAAACATATGTTTATAATAATATATTTGATAAATAAATAAATTTTAAAATTCAAAATAATCATATTAGTTAATAAATCTTTTTTTTTAAAATGACATTTTGCTTTATATAATTACAAAGGAGAATCAAGTGGTAATTTATTGGAGAAAATAGATTACATTTGCCATTAGCATGAAGGTACTAAAAATGTATTGCTTTATTCGTATATATTTTATTCTTATATATACATTTATAATTAGTTAACTAACTAAATTTAATAGTAAATTATAATTTTGAAAAATAAAAATAAAAATAAAAAATATGTAATTTTTATTCAGATTTAAAACATATAAATACATAACTTAAGCTAATAAAAATATAAATATAATACTCATTTAAATTATAAAAATAATTTTATTATATTAAAAATATATAAAAAATTTAGAAAATATCCTACAGCATAGCGCAGATAAAATACCTAGTCTACAGTAATAATCACAACCAATAAGGCCCTAAGAGAAAGTAGAAATCAAAAGGACATACCAGTTACTTGAATTATAACCAGCGATTATGGCCACTTCCGCAAAAGCTTGTCTCCATCTCGCGATGTCCTCCTTTGTCTTACCCGCACAAGTTTTCTCAAAGACGGCTCCAAATTCTCCGGTCAGCTTTTTTACATGGGATGGATCAACTTCATAGAAAATGACAAACACCGTTTGACCTAACTCCTTCTTGCAGTTCATAATCTCCACCAATTCGTCAAGACACCACTTTGAAGAAGCATAGTTCCTTGAGATCATTATGATCGCAATCTTAGATCTTTTAATCGCTTGTATGAGTTCAGGACCGATGGATTCTCCTCTCTTGATCTCATTATCAATGAAAAAAGTGATTCCCTTCCTCCTAAATTCCTTCTGAAAGTGACTGAGAAAGTTTCTGCGTACATCTTCCCCACGGAAGCTTGGAAATACATCGTGTGTCCATTTGCAAGACAAAGAAAATGACGGAGATGAAGAAGATGGAGGAGATGAAGAAGATAAAGAAGATGGAGGAGATGGAGGAGATGAAGAAGATGGAGGAGATGAAGAAGATGGAGGTGATGAAGAAGAAGAATCAATTTCTTTGTTTCTTTGAAGAAATCTGGATTTTCTATAAACCATGAAACATGGTATACCCAAAAGCATGAAGAAGCCTACTGCAGCAGCAACAACAGTGAGGAAAAAAGAAGTACCCATTAACATATGATTGAGCAAGGATCAAGATCACTAATTAAGACTTTTCTCAGAACGGTATGCAATGGATGAAATAACAATGTATATACTAAACTCATAATTTTGATTCGATTGACCGAGAGGGAATGTAGCAAAGGGAGGAAGGTTCATGGCTGTTTCCTTTGACAAAAAAATGATAGTATTTTATTTGGACTAATAAAAATGGATCCAAAAATGAAAATTATAAAATACAAAAATTTTAAGAAAAATATGGAGATTAAGCAAGAGGGCATAAATAAAGCATCGAGATTAAGACAATGCATAAGCCCTTTAGATGCTTTAAGACTCCCGCATGCATCGACACAGTCACACAAAGACTAAATAAAGTTAAAAACCCAATTGCTCGGAAATTAAAACTCAAGTTAGAGATTTGCTTGGAAGTTGGACCTTTTGACACTTACGAAAGCGAGGGCACAAAAAAAAAACAAAAGCGATTTTGGACTGACACCTTCGTCTCGATGAAATCGACCCCGAACCTAACTATTTAAGTAAATTTGTTAGTATAATATAGGTTATGCAAGTTATATGTCGACTTAGTCAACAAATGTTTATTAACTTTCTCTTAACTTTTGACATTTTAAATTGTGTTTATGAAGTCGATTGGAGATGGAATCATGGAACATAAACGAAGGTATTATTAAAGGAATGGATTTTGGACCTATTAACAAGCAGATTTTCATCGATTTTGGGTATATTCAATGGCTCTCACTAAGTATACAAATCAGAAGAAAACGTGAAGTTAGAAAAATAATGGGATGAATAAACTGAAAACTGAATTATAAATTCAATAGCTAAATAGCAGAATACCTAAATAATAAACTAGCAAAATTAATGAGATGAGTAAATCTAAAACTGAATTAATTTAAAACATTATAAAGTTAGTATCTATTAGATGATATTTTTCTCTAAACTAGTTATAAATTTTAAAACATGCGAGATAGATTGAAAAATAGCATGTTAATTTTTTTTTTTTATCATCTAGTGTTTATTATTGTGAATGATATGTACTTAGTGAAATTATGTTTTCAAAACATGAAAAGATACATACCATTCAACCTCCAAAAATGTGTTGATCAAGAAAATATCGAACAACAGGAGAAAATGAATAATAGGGTTTGACTGATATGTCAACTTAAGAGTACAATAGCAGAATAACTGAATAATAAACTAGCAGAATCAATAGGATGGATAAACTGAAAACTGAATAAATTTAAAACGCTAAATAGCTAGTATATTAGATAAATAACATTTTTAAAAAACTAGTTATAAATTTAATGTACAGATGAATTAGAAAACAATGTGTTAATTTTTACATTTTATATTGTAAATGATATGTAGTTAATAAAATCATGTTTTTAAAACATGAAAACATGAGAAAGTTACATACCATTCAACTCCATAGTAATGGGGGGGGGGGGGGGGGGGGGGGGGGGGGGGGGGGGGGGGGGGGGGGGGGGGGGGGGGGGGGGGGGGGGGGGGGGGGGGGGGGGGGGGGGGGGGGGGGGGGGGGGGGGGGGGGGGGGGGGGGGGGGGTAAGGATCGTGCACTCATCTGATATTTGGTAGAATGTAAAGTGTAAGAGATGGACCGTAAGAAGAGTGATGTGGGAACTCTTTTCACACCGGTGTGGAATAACGAACAAAAGAGAAGAGAATGCTTATCTTGATAGGCGTATCCTCCAGGAAATAGTAAGCGTTCTCTTTAATTTTGCTGACTCGCGGGAATCAAAATAAATGAGCTCCGATGAGATTAGAGTATGAGGTTTTCCCATGTTCCTATTTCTTGTATAACTTAATTTATCTAGAGTTTTGAAAAATTATTATTTATTTTTTTGGACGGCAGTTTTGAAAAATTATTATAATTTATCAAGTGTTACAAAATATTTGATATTTTTTCTATGTTACTCGAATTACACATGATGAAATTTACAATAATCATTATAATATGAAATTTACAATAATAATTATTATAAACATATATATACATACTGTAAATGTTTAGTTTTGTAAAGACTTTTTTTGCAGATTCCATAAAAGTAAAAGCGCGTTGAATGGAAATGTAGTTGGCTAGTAGGCACAAAATTACATTTGGCATTTAACGATAATACATTATCTTTTTTTTTTTTTTTGAACTTTATACATTATCTTTTTCGCAAACTATTATTATATATATCTTGAGCTGCTCTTGGACGTAATGTATTATTTGAGAGAGACGACCACAATTAGCTAATAATGGTTACAAAGACATCAAGTTTCGTTTCCCTTCTTCTGTCTTTGTTTATTTTGCTCTTACTTGTATCATCTCAAGTTGGAGTGATCGAGGCCAAACGTCGCCAACGTAAGTATTCTTCTCTTAATCTCTTGTTCTCTGTATTGGTTAATTTTGCTTAAATAAAAAGCATTGGTATATAATATGACTTCCAACATTCAGCTGAGATCAAATAAGTCATACTATATAAAAGATGTGCTTATCAGCTTTAGCATGCCAAATATATTTCATTTGAGATGTTATTTTAATAAGAGATCCTAACATTCATATATTGTAATAAGCTAATAGCAATAACATAATTCCAAACACATTCATATAATCGGAAATCTCTTGCATTGTTATATTGCATTTGTAATCACATTTAATTGTTGTAATATCGAAACTAATCATACACTTTGTGGGGGCAATCATATCGTAGAAGGGAACGAATTAAGCTTGGATTGTGTTCCTCTTCCTCCTCCTCCTCCTCCTCCCATCGCTCGACCTCCTATCTTTTTGCCACCCTCTAAATCGCCAAAAGGAAAAGGTCCATAACCCTATGTCCATTTCCAGAAGTTACTGATAATTTAAAGAAAGTGTGTAAGAAGAATAGTAAGGTTATTTTCAAACAAACAAAAAAAAGAATGGTCAAAATAATCTTATTGTAGTTGGACTTCTGCAGAAATGCTGGACCATTTTAATAATAAATATTTGGAATTGTTTTATTTAATCTTATAGAAATAGATCTCTGTATAAATGGATCTCACTGGTTTCACCATCGATTTGATCTTACATATAGCAACTGCAAATGGTTTAACTTTCTTCTTCTCAATTGGTTAATATTTTGATAACGCGCGTCCTTTTGGACTGTAGCTATTATCTTCAGGTGAATTCCTTGTTCATTTCACATCATCACTATAAAAGAAAAAAAGAGTTTTTTTTTTTATATTATTTTCACATCATCAATACAAGTATTTTTTTTTAAAGAATTATTTTTTTATCTAGGATATATTTGGTTCGTCCGGTTATTGGTTAGAACGTTGCCCATTTACTTATTCACTTCATTAGTCTTTTAAAATCCGGATTCCATCAATCGGTGTTTTTCTATAGAGAAACTATTTTTCATTAGATATTTTGGATGATAAAGAAACTGGCTCCATAAATGGTGATATGCGGTTCCAATTGATAATGGCAAAAAAATGTTTTGTTTGAAAATTGTAGTCTTCCTTTTGTTATGTCCTTTTGTGGAAGGACATAAATTAGAGTGTTAGTATAAAAACAGTTAAGCAAATTAAAAGAGAACGATGGCAAAAAGAGAGTTTTTCGAATTTTTGGATTTGTTGGTGCAACATACAAACTGGAAATCTAGAAATTTGATAAATTTCCAAAGAACTCAATCAAGAGATTCGAATAATTGTTTAAGAGTAACTTTATTCTTAATGAATTTAATCGAATTAAAGACACTGTATACAAATAAAATTCTTATTTATTAATTATCAAAAGTAGCATACAATACAAACTAACAACTTGTTTAATTAAGAGACTAGATTTTGGATTCGTGTTTAGCGCGGGTTTGATGATATAAAAATATTTTTGACCTTCATATTATGTATTTACACTGTGAAAATAAGAGAAATTGGATCAGATGTTTTAATTAATTTGTTGTTGTGCCTGAATTCTATATATTGACCCAACAGAAAATAAAATGTGTATGCATTTTTGACATATATTATTAATTATTATCAACATTAACTTCTTTTATTCTCTTTACAAATTTATAATAACTTTTAAACTATTTTTAGCTAAAATTTTATGTGTAACGTGTTTTGTTTTAATTTTTTTTTGACTCATTTAAAAAATTTATTTTAAACTTATAAGTAACATTCTAGACTAGTGTTTTATTTTGAATCTCAAACAAAAGTTTGTGTCTAATATTTTAGCACATTAAAAAAGTGATTTTTTTATATTAATTCAACAGCAACACATGCAAACATAATTTTTTTTTTTTTGTTGTCTCAAATTAGATTTTTTCAAATTCTAAATTTCGCAATTAAAATTTTCTTTCGATCTTTAGCTTCAATATTTTACTTTAAAAGTCAGTAATTCTCCACAATTTTGATTCAAATAGCTTTTATAGAACCTGGTGTCTTATTGTTAATCATTTGAGAAAAAAACACAAACGCCGTTTAGGATCATCTATATACAATAAAAGACGATAATACATAAAACTAACGTATGCGATTCCGAATATTATATGAAAAGTAATTCTATTAAGACACATTTGAAAACCCATGATTTTTGTTTTAGTTTCCAATCAATATTTATATAAATTCTCTTAAAGAATAACTGAACAATATGTTAAAAAAAAAACTCAAACAGATTTATATTCGTAAATTATGTGGTTTTGTAATTATTTTTTATTTATATTCAATCGGTATAACACCAGAAAATTAAATATAATCAATATAATTTGTTGTAGAAAATAAGACCATTATTCTTGCTTCAACGTCAATTCATCTTATGTAATCTAGTTATTTCACAGAAATCAAAATTTAAGTGTGTAATTAGAGTTTTAATCATAAATGTAAGCAAACTAATATACATTGACTAACAATAAAACATATTAATATTTTTGAATTCTATTATTTCTCTAAAACATTTTAGTTGCTTCCATACTCATGTAGGACCTACTTTAAGGATCGACATTAATAAAATTTGTAAGATCTACTTTAAAGATCGACATTAATATCACAAATAAAATTTGTCTTGCCATGACATAAGAAAACATAAACAAAACATAAGCATTTTTTGTATTCATAAGGAAAACAAAATTTAAGAGAGAATCTCATGATCAAACCTGCATAAAATCATATAGATCATTGCTAATTTTGTTTTCTTCATGAAATATATCAACATGCTGGTCATCTAAAAAGATATTGATTTTTCATGATCTTACGCCAGCAAGAATTATTATATGAATATAAGATATTGTGAAAATAAATATTTTTGAGTGAAATAGAAAGAAAATGAAAATTGATTTAAGAAAAAAACATTTATGATTGTATATTCTAACAAAATATCATATATGTTTTCCTAAAATCATATGATTCCTAAAATTGCTTTTGTACAGAATATTAGATATATTTTGTATCTATGAAATCTTGTAACATATTTTCTAAAATTATATTCTTATGAATATATATTTCTTAATCTTTTTTTTATAAGATGTAAAAATCAAAATCAGTAAATCAGTACAATCCATTAAAATTACTAATTCCATTACAATAAAACCCAATATAAACTCATATCATTTTGTGTATTTGTAATTAGATGATATTACCTTTAATAATTTGATAAAATTATTTAACAAATGTAACGACACATTTAGTAAATACCATGTAGTTTTTTGATATTTCAAAGCAGTGCTTCTCTTATAATATTATAAATGACAATCAAAAACTGTAATCTGAATAATTAACAAAAACGACATAACTTAATTAAGGCCAGAACCAATGATAAAAGAAAAATGAAATACTTTTCAAGTCGGCATCTATTGTGTGACACATAATTATATGCTGGTGCATCAGGTCTCTCTCGGAGAAAGATTTGATCTCGAACCTGAATAGTAATCATTGCTCAAAATTCCAGTAGAATGTTTCGGGGACATTGTCCCCTTTTGTTTTGATTTCTTTTCTCTCTTTCCAAATTTTTTTATTGATGAAATTCTTCATATATCTTATGAGTCATTTTTAAAAGGCAATATTTAGTAATAAAATTGCCAAATAGTAATTTCAAAAATTATTCCTATATATTAAGCATCTTCATTTTCCCACCAGCAATAGCAAGACACGTTACATGAAATTGCAGATTTAACTCCACAATGCTCACTTTGGCTTCCGACAACCTGTTATTAATTAAAAAAAAACGATTACTTCTCTTTATCTTAAAAGCTTAGTTTAGATTCTTTGAAGCTAATGTTGTCTCAGGCAAAAACATGTTCTATGTTAGAAGATTTGGCTTTATGTGATATTTGTTGTATTTGCAGATAGAGATAATGTCAGAGGTAATAGGTGAAACACTGACAAAGATGAGGCTGAAGAAGAAATAGGTAGGAGATAAAGGATCGTTCGTTCTGTCTGAGTCCCCGTTTGGGTCTTATCTGACTCCATGGATGATCATTAATAATAACTTTATAGTGGACAAACTGAATACACTACATTAGCTAAGTAATCTATTTTTCCACAAAACCCATCTTCCTGAGCAAATTTTTAATGAAAGTCCATTCGAGGTGATCATAGGCTTTACTCATGCCCGTCTTGACTGTCATAAAATTTTTACTGTATGATTTATTTGTCCATAGGCCATGAAGCATTTCTTGGGCTATTAGAATGCTGTCCGAGATCAGTGGTCCCAACATGAAGGCTAATGAGTCTTCGAAATAAGCCACGGTAATACACCTTAAACGTTGACATAACACCTTAGAGATAATTTTATATCCTAGATTACATAGACTAATGGGTCTCAATTCTGTCATCTTGGTAGGCTGATCCATTTTTGGTATAAGGCAAACATTCGTTGCGTTTAACTGTTTATCAAAAGAACCCTTGAGAAGAAACTCATTTACCATCGCTACCACGTCATTTTTTTATGATCTCCCAAGATCTCTGAAAGAACAAAGCTGTCATAACATCAGGTCCGGATGCCTTTCCTGGATGCATCATAAATAGTGCCTTCCTGACTTTCTCCTCTGTTGCCGGTTTAGCAAGATCTAAATTGTCTCTCTCTGTTATTATCGGTGTTATTTCCGCTAAAACCTCATCAAAACCCGCTGGAGAGCTTGTCGTGAATAAATCATCAAAATACTCTACCGCGACCTTCTCCACTTTTTTTGTCTCCTTCCACCCAGACGCATTGTTTATCATGCAGACCCACAATCCTATTAATTGTCTGTCTTTGTTTTGTAGTCGCATGATAAAACTTTGTATTTAGGTCCCTGCACTTGTTCCATATATTCCAACTTTTCTGTTGCTAGTAGATTTCCTCATCCCGATATGCAGTTTTAGTTTACATGTTATGTCAGTGAGCTCTTCTTGTGTCCTGCTATCATCATTTTCCATTACCTCAAGTATTTGTTGTAAATCCTCTATTTTATCCCTCCCATAAGGTTGGTTGGCCTTTCGCCATTTTGATATCTCATGCCTACACATACTTATTTTATCTACTATAGTTTTCCCTTCGTCCGTTCTATCAGAATACCAGCCTTGTGTAATAGCTTCCATTAATCCATCTTGGCCAACCCACCGTTTGTCGAATCGAAACTGACGTCGGCGTTTGATTTTTTTTCGTGTCCATTGTGGCTACAATAGGACGGTGATCTGATCCAATCATTCTCAAATATTCAACATAAGAGAATGGAAATAAATCATGCCACTCTTCCGTTGCAAGACCTCTATCTAGTCGACACATAACATTTTGTCCATTTCTTCTCCCTTTCCAAGATAAAGTGTTTCCACAGCTTGGAAAATCAATTAATCCACAATCAACAATCATGGTGTTAAAATTATTGAAAGAAGATGGTTGTCTATGATTTCCTCTCTGTTTTTTATGGTTACCTGTTAATTCATTAAAATCCCCAATAAGAAACCATGGATCTATCCTTGTTAAGCATATTCGAGTCAACCGTTCCCAGACTTGGTCCCGTAGTTTAATGATCGGTGATATATCATGGTCTTTATGGTTTTTAACCACGGTAT